CTCTCTCTCTCTCTCTCTCTCTCTCTCTCTCTCTCTCTCTCTCTCTCTCTCTCTCTCTCTCTCTCTCTCTCTCTTCTCTCTCTCTCTCTCTCTCTCTCTCTCTCTCTCTCTCTCGCGCTCTCTCTTACACGCACACCCGCTGTCCCACTTCCGCTATTTTGGATTCTAAAGTAAAATACTCTTACAGTCTTACTGGATGCAAATAACAACAAACATTTATTAGAAAACAAGCATTTATTAGAATACATTTATTACAATTCCACACCCGGTTTATTACCTCAATGTTATTTAAAACAACAACATTTGCGTTCACTCGCCATTTCCATTACTCGTTGGGTATTTTTAATTAACCTTTGTATCAGCTTATTCAGACCTGCTAGAGTCCCTTAATATAGATGCAAATAGTGAACAAATTGGCTTCTAATTGCGAGTTGTCGCAACTCTCTATATAAAGGGACTCTAAGACCTGCTGTCTATGGGCGCCCTCTGCTGGGGAATTCCACCTTTACCACGTGGGTATTCAGTCGGGAGGCACGTCATCGTGACGTCATAACAGCAGATAGTGTATTGTCAATGTATTTCTATGATTACATGGGTATCCAGATATCAGTATATTATAGAGATCATTGTATCGTGAATGTGGTTCGCATTACATCGGTAATCAAGCCATCAGCACGTCACCATGGTAACGTTACATCAGGTAGCGTATCCAGAGTGTGTTTCTGTGTCGGTATCCAGGCGGAAGGCGCGTCACCATGGCAACTTATATAGATATCAATGATCATAGCGATGATCATATCAGTGATTAGTATCAATGATGATCATATCAATCTATATCTGATTATATAGATATCAGTTAAAGAGATCAGTGTATCGGGAGTGTACTATCACATCGGTATCCATGCAGGCGGTATGTAATCCTCGACTACGTACTGCGCCGCTATGCCGCTACCATTCCGCACGAACTCCCGCTGATAGATGACGTCACCGCCTGCGAGCCAGCCCGCCCACCAGCCGAACGTACCGACGGTGACGATACTGTGGTTGCACTTGGAGAGCGTCGCGAGGTCTCGTATGGGCGTGTGGTCGCCCGGACGCGCGGGGTCCGGCAGGAAGACGTCGAAACCTGGCCAGCGCAGTGACGCCGCGCACCACGCCGCATCGTCGCTGCGGACGACGAAGGCGACGCGCTCGTGGCGCCCCCTGTAGTAGGTCATCGCGGCGCGCAGGAAGGCGGCGTCGGCCGGGAGCCGACCGACAGCGTCGCGCTCGAGTCCCAGCCGACGCACGTGCACGCCGACGTAGGTGAGGTCGCCACCGTCGCGTGCGAACGTCGCGCGCACGTCGGCGAGCTGTCGGTGTGCGTCGTCGTCGACGTCGTCACGCAGCAGGAACTCGTTGCGCACGCGGTGGCCGACGTCGCCGAAGTACCGCCAGCTCTGCAAGAACCCGACGAGAAGTCTGTCGCCTCCTCCTCCTCTTACTCCGCCTGCTCCCGCGGCACGCAGCAACGCAGCGTACAGCTCCTCATCGTGCGTGCCCGCAGCGCGCTCTGTCGGCCCGTACGCGAACCAGCGGAGCCGCGTGGCGTCGGCCGTCGTCGCCGTGAGCCGGAAGTAGTCGACGAGGTCGAGGTAGTCGGGGACGGCGGGCCGGATGTCGACGCCGAATGCCGACAGCTCGCGGCAGATGCCGAGCAGGGAGGCGTACTGGAACATGTGGTTGCCGAGGCCGCCCTTGAAGTCTACGCTGATGTACACCGTGCTGTTCTCATCGCGGTTAAGCTCCACGTCCTGGAATGATACGATAAGTGACAGGTAGATGGCAGCACGAATGGATGGCAGCAGGGGGAGAGCAGGAGGAGGAAGAAGACGACGACGACGAAGAAGAAGAAGAAAAAGAAGAAGAAGATGAGGATGAGGAGGAGGAGGAGGAGGAGGAGGAGGATGAGGAGGAGGATTAGGAGG